CTTTGGTGGTTCCAACGGACACTGGAACGCATCGTTGCTGCGAACGCTGGGCATGCAGAAGCACATGCTGACCGAGGATATCGATTCGTCGATGCGTGCCATCATCTCGGGTGCACGTATCGAGTACGATCTCAAGGTGCTGTCGTACGAGCTGGCGCCCGAGACGCTCCCTGCGCTGGTCAAGCAGCGTCTGCGATGGGCGCAGGGCTGGACGCAGGTGGCCTTCCGACACGCCATGCCTTCCATGCGTCGCGGTGCGTACTCGGACAACAACAGCTGGCGCTCGCGCGTGGGTCTCTTCCAACTCCTCCTCTACCGCGAGATCTACTTCTACATCAACTCGCAGCTCGTCTTTATGCTCGCCTCGGGCATCTGCTACAACATCCCCACCCAGGGCCTCAAGCGCTACTTTGAAGACTTTGGCGGATACGCACTCTCGATGTTCGCCCTCGCCGTCAACCTCATCTGCCTCGGCCTTACGATTTGCATCCAGGCCAGGAACAGGTCCCACTTTACCCGCATGGGTGGCATTCTGCTCTTCGCTGCCTGCACCCCCATCTGGTACTCGGTCACCTCGCTCATGGCCATCTTCTGCCACTTCCGCGAGTTTATCAAGTTTGAAAAGTGGAATCCCACCGCGCGTACCTCGGCCAACTCCAAGACCGGTACCGCCGCCAACAACTCGCGCCAGGGCTCCAACACGAACAGTGTGGTCAACTGAAGCGAGCGCCTTGTGTCTTTGGGATGTATGTATATCACGAACTTTAATAGTAGAATCAACCTTGTTCCTCTAGCTCCTTCCATTGCATGAAGTGTGGTGTGTGGTCTAGGCGGTAGATTTGGGGATTTCCAGGCCGTAGGAGGACATTTCCTCCCGAACGAGCTTGCCGACATCGGCGATCGCGTCTGCCATGCGGATGCCTACCTCAGTCCACATCTGGCGTTTCTCGAGTGCTGAGCTAGTGTCGTCCCTCCAAATAGCACCAGCATGACCGAACATCTGGCCGGGCGGCGTGTTGAGGCCCGCGATAAATCCGACGATGGGCTTGGTAAACGTGCCCTTACCGCCTTTGGGCTGCCTGTACTTGGAGTTGGGATCGCTGAGCAGCGCGTATACCTCCTCTTCCATCGTTCCGCCGATCTCGCCTGCAAGAACGATGGCGTGAGTCTCCGGGTCGTTCATGAGGAACTCGAGAGCCTCGACGGTTCGTGTGCCGGGGTAAAAGTCGCCTCCAAGCCCCAGGATGTAGCTCTGTCCAAGCGGTTTAGTGGCATAGGCGGCTTCGTACGATAGCGTTCCTGAGCGCGAGGCGATTCCAACCGGCCCGGGCGCAGCCGTGATCATGGGCGAGATACCCATCCTGCAACCGCGCGGATTGCAGTATCCGGGCGAGTTGGCACCTACCAGCCGCGACTTGTCCTGCGAATGCAGCGCCTCCATCACGCGGAACTGGTCCTTGACCGGTACGCCCTCTGCAACGCTGACAATGAGCGGAATCTCGGCTCGGATCGCCTCGATAATCGCATCCGCCGCCAGAGCGGGTGGCACAAAGACCGAGGTGGCGTCCACCTTGATGCCTGCATCGAGCACCTCTTGGACCGAATTGAACACAGGCCGACCACCGAGATGTTTGGTGCCACCCTTGCTGGGAGAGACGCCGGCGACGACGTTGGTGCCCATGTCGAGCGAGATTTGCGTGTGCACGGTCGATGCTTTGCCCGTGAAGCCCTGCACGATCACGTTGGAGTGAGGACCTGCGGCGAGGTTGCCAATCGTATCCGCGTAGCTGCTGCGAGTTGCACTGGTGGCAAGTCCACGCCGCGAGGTAGCAGCGAAGCTCTTGAGCAGACCCATGCGCAAGCAATGTGGCCCCGTCGTTCGTATCGAGTGGCTAGCTAGCATCGTCGAAGATCAAGGGAAGGGCACTGTTCAGTGAGCGGCCGGTGAGCGATGTGCGGCGAGTCGTTCGTTCCGCTTCGTGTTTGTAGGGGAGGTCAAGGAAGTGTGGCGAGTCCAAGTGGGTCTTGCATCGGCGGTCTATGGTGGCAGGATGAGCGGGTATGCTGACCTGCGGAGGAAGCGGAGCTGCATCTCGACGCCGGGTCTGTGCTGGCTCATCGTACTCGGCTGTGTGGAGGAGGACAAGAGTTTGGCTGTCTGGCGCCCACGTTCAACGCAGTACATTAGGGCCGCACCTTGGCCGTGGGGGGTGCGGGGAAGTAGTGGTCGTTTCGGCGACTGAAAGCGATGTCGTAAATTCGCATTTTGCCGACGCCGATTTATCCCCGCACTCTGCCTCGCACAGAGCATCGACCCCGCATGGAGCGGTGTCTTGCTGCACGCCCGCCGTCATCCGCCCTCGCTAACGGCGCTTCATACTCGCACCCACTACCTGACGAGGCCCGTCGTGGAAGAGTGTGTACCTTGGCTGGTGCGACTTAGTCAGGATCCATCCCTGCTTTGGTCACTGCCACCAACGGTTATCACGAAACGACTCCGCACCTCACTTCACCTTCGAGTCGTGTACAGGAACACGATGCTATCGAGATCGGCAGCCAGCTCGGCGCTAGTAGCCAAGTGGGCGACGCGCAGTGCCCTGCGAGGCGCAGCGCAGTCCAGCGTTGCGCGCTGTCCATCTACCATCCGAGACTTCCATCTTCAGGCCAAAGACATCCCCACCTTTCTCACCGAGGTCGGCGCGACGCTTCCACGCTCGGTGACGATCGAGTCCGACCAAACCTCGCATGCGGACCAAGGCGTAGCGGTTCTCATCTCTGCTGACCGTGACCCGCAATCAAGCTGGCCTGTCTCCCGGGCCAAGTCCGGCGCCAAGTTCTACGGCCCCAGCATCGTCTCCGCCCCCCTCAAGTCGCTATCTTCGCTCGACTCGACCTACTTCGGCAAAGGCGGGCTTGGCCTGCTCAAGCTTCGACGCCAGGCTCCCGAATCGGTGGCGGAGACTGGCATTCGATCCGGCGCCTCGTCACTCGACTCTCAGCAGCTGGAGGCTCTTTCGCACGGGCTGGGCGGCGATGCGGGTACGGTGATCGAGCAGATGTGGAAGGTGTTCGACCAGCAAGAAGGGCTCTGGTTCTCCTTCACACTCGTTCCAACCTCGGACGGTGTCCGTGTCCTCCAGCCTTACCTTGAGTTCGACGACTTTGCAGTGCGACGTCAGCCACAGCTCAAGCCGTACTTCGAGTCGCGCCCGCGCAACGCCAACACGGCGCGCGCCGAAGACGGCGGACTGTTCTACGTCAAGCTCTCGGACGTCGATGCGCCTACCCCGACCCAACACGGCAGCAGCGATCTGCCCGAGGGCAACGTCGGATGCTTTGGGTACGGCGCTGGTAATGCCATGGCGACCATGGATGGCCTCAACAAGGCAGGTGGACGACCAGCCAACTTCCTCGACGGCGGTGGAGGCGCAAATAGGGTCAATGCCAAGCTCGCGGTCGAGACCCTCAACAGAGACCCTGCAGTCAAGGCGATCTTTGTCAACTCGTTCGGAGGTATCACCAGGACAGAGTACGTATGCAAAGCCGCTCGCCGAGATATGCTTGGAAGCAATACTGACTTTTCGATTGATTCGTGCGGCGATCGGTGGGCCGCACAGCATTGTGTCGCAGGGCATCATCGATGCGGTCAAGGACGACAAGATCACCAAACCCATCGTCGTGCGCATGAAGGGCACCGGCTCCGAAGACGCCGCCAAGGTCGTGAGTACTGTTCCGCATCTACTCGAGTCGTGAGCTGAGAATATCGGACTGACGCCCCTGTTGCCCACGTTAGTTGCAAGCGTCCGGGCTCGAATTCGCCTTTCACGACGACTTTAACGCCGCTGCGGCGCACGTCGTCAAAGCTGCCAACCAGGGTCATCTGTGAGGCAGTCCCGCATCCCAGAACCAAGAAATGCAGTATACTAGAGCCTTCCATTTTAAGAGAGAGAGCGTGACACGGACAGGGATGGGGCGGGCATGGCGAATGGAGGTGTTCAGTCAAACGAAGGCCCGAGCGCGATCAGGTTGAAGTTGACTTCGTTCGGGTTCAGCGCCATCTGTTGTCGCGTTCAGTGAGCAGGCACAAGTCAGTTTTGGCGGTCTATGCACGCATAGTAGAGCGCTCGCATTGCGCAAGATTACTTACGTAGTGGTCCTTGACAAACTGGACAGCCACGGGGAGGAGGTCCTCCTGCGTCTGAACCTTCTTGTCCCTTGGCATGGGGCCTTTCCTGCCGCTGGAGCCATCGAGCTCGACCAGCTCCCCATGCTTGCTGCGGACAAAGCAGATGAAGTGGAGCAGCACGTTGTCCAGGTCTTCTGGTGCCTGGCTCTGCCCCTGGCTCGCCGTGGCCTCGTGCACCGTCTGGAGCTCCTTGGAGTTGACCAGCACGTCTGTGCGCTCGTTTGCATCCGAAGTCGCCCGCGCCTTCTGGAACAGCGTGTCCAGAGGTGAGCCGGGCTTGATGCTGCTCGCTGCATCCGAGTTGGCTAGCGCATGCAGCAGGCCGATGGTGCCGCACGCATTGCCGATGGTCTGCTTGAACCACAGGATGCCCGAGCTCGGATCGTCGGGCGACGCAGACGCGTTTTCGTCGTGTCGCAGCTTCGCCATCTCTTCGGTGAGCGGAAAGAGGAGGAGGACGGCAGATACCGGCTGGGGCACCATGGCAAGCAGGTCCGGGTCGGTGCCGTAGATGTCGTGGAAGGCAAACTTGGACGTGTCCAAGCCCATCGACGAGCACCAGCTGGTGAAGAGCTCCGGATTGGATTCGAGCGGCACCCACATGAGGCGCTTCTGGGGAGTGGCGGCTGCAGTCTGATCGGACATGATGATGAAGTGTAAGGACAGAGAGGAACAGACAGTGGTGATGATCGAGCGGACCACCGAGTCGCGGCAGGGCTGAGTGCGAAGATGTCTGTGCGCGAGGACGAGGTGGAGGTGGAAATTAAAAGCAATGTTACATCGACACCTTGTCGTTCGGCGTTCGGAACTCGGCCTTGCGGTTGAAGGGGAAGTGGAACCCTCGAAGGTGCCGAAGAGCCATCTTGACGACGTCGACGACAGCCGTGTATGGACACGACTGCATTGGGATCGATCGCTCGTCATGTCATCAGCAGGAGCGCGACGACCGCGTCAAATCACACCTACCTCACCCTCGCCCTCTCCCGAGCCGCAATCCCACACAGGCGCTAATGGTGCTGGAGCTACCAAGACCTCCCAACCAGCAACAGCCCTCCCACCGGCGCAAGCCGAGGCAAGCGCAGCGATCGAACCCGCCGATCCTACCGAGTCCGTGCGTGCTGCGCTTGAAACCCGCGTGCGTGCTGTCGTCGATCTGCTGTACCAGCTCGCGGTGTGCTCGGCCGACGTGCAAGAGGGTTCGCAGCATCTAGTGGCGAACAAGGTCAACGAGTGCATCAAGGCGCTCGCCGAGCTGGACGCCACCAAGGACGAGCTGCATCGTGCGCACCTGATGGTGCCCCAGGAGGTGCTCGAGATGCTCGATGCGGGCAAGAACCCCGACACGCATACGAGGAACTTTATCGGCCGTCTCGCGAGCGAAAACCAGTACAGCTACGGCCAGCACAACGCAGTCAGCAGCTACAAGGACGCCCTCGACGCAGCACTCGATCAGGCGTTCCCCGAACTGGCGGGTACCAACAAGCCAGCGGAGGCGCAAGATTCACAGTAGAGCGAGAAACAATTCCGACGACCCGGCGTCGCCATATACCCAACCTGTCACTTGTATCCGCTCACTGCTACAGTTCCCTAGTCTCTCTCGATCGCGGCTTGTCTCGCTCAGGTCGCTCATGTGAATGTATTTGTATCCCCACGCTGACCCTTTTCTTACTGTGCGCAACCATGCAATTCCGTTCGATTCGGCATAAAGAAACATCGCAAAAGCAAGCCAGGCTCCGGCGTCCTAAGGCTCAAACGCCCACTTGCCCTGCAGCTTTCCTCCGTGGAGCTTTTCCGCGTTGGCGAGCACCTCGTTCCTGCCCTTGAGCTCGAGCCCCTTCGGACCCATCTCTTCGAGCCTGAATCCACCAAAGCCAGGGATGGGCTTGCCGGCATCTTTACCTTGCTGCAGCTTTTGCGGCACGGGGAGGGTGGCGGGCATCCACTTTTGCGCGCCGCGTCGGTCCTCGCTCCGCAGCAGGCCGAGCGCGATCTTGGCCTCCTCAGCGACCCAGCCGGCCGACCAGGGCTCGAAGGGTCGTGCGTAGGCGGGCTCGTTTTCGTACCAGCGCAGCTCCATGCGCCATGCAGCGGGCTTGAAGCCTCCACCTGCGGCTTTCTCGGCATGGAGGTGGCCGCCAACGGGGCAGGTTTTGCCCTCATCAGCACGGATGCCCGAAGCAGGACATACGCCGGGGATGCCTTCGCTGAGCAGGTTTTCGACGGAGAAGACCTTGCCGGCCTCGTCTGAGCCGATGGGGATGTTGGCGAGCGGCTTGGATCGCGGGAGCATGAGCGAACCCACGACCAGGGCGCGCAGGCGGAAGAATGTGTCTTTGAAGCTCATGACCCAGGCGGGCGCAGAGGGGTATCCCATGGCCACTCGAAGCCGCTCGTCCATAAGCGAGACGACGAGATGCGTCGCAAAGCCGTGCAGCATGCTGGGCAGCGCATACATGAGCAACGCGGTGGTGTGCTGCGCCACCTCGTGGTTGCACTGCTCGAACTTCATGTAGTTCTCTTCGTAGGCGAGACTCCATTGGATGAGCTCCTCTCGCGTCTCGGGGATGTTTTGGATGCCCATGCAGCGTCCGATGTGGTAGAAGAGTGCAAACATGGCCTCCTTTTCGAGCGCGCTCGTCTTGCGCCACTCGTAGCGGTCGATCCACTTGGCCGGCTCGATGATGAACACGCTCAGCGTATACAGCAGATCGTCGTTGGAGATCTTGCTCTTCCATCGGCCGTGGAGGAAGTTGACGCGCGCCAGAGCGATCGACGACCTCGGATCGTCCGGGTCCTCGCCAAAGTGCTCCCAGCCCTGGCGGTCGGCTGGGGCTGTGCTGGACTCGCCGCCGTCCGGAAGATCGAGCCTGGGCACGGGGAAGGTCATGAAGGACTGGATGAGGCCAGCAGTGTCGACGTATCGGCGACCGGCATTGTCGGCCTTGCCCAGCTGGCCCGTATGCAGGAGCAGCGACGAGATGGTCGGGATGCCGTACGTGCGGAAGAGCGCAAACTCGAGCGACTTGGTAAAGACGAATGGATGATCCATGCTTGCGGCGAGTCGCAAGATTCGCTGCGCATCGCGCACGCCGCGGTACGAATCAATCATGCGCGGCTTGCCCTTGCTGGCTTGCTCGCCGTCGATGGCGTAGCGTCCACCATAGCGCTGATGGATGTGGCGGTAGTGCTTGTAGCGCAGCAGCTGGACCGTCCAGTAATAGACGGTGAGAACACCAAAGGCAATGAGCCACGCCTGCATTGTGTTTGAGTCGGTCCCTCGACGCCGGCAGTGTTGGATGGAAGGGATGGGAAGACGATGCGGACGGGACGAGCTCGGGTTGGTGCCAGTTTTATGCACGGACGGTGTGCAGGATTTGCACCGTGCGAGGGGGGTTTGCCCCAGCTAGCCGAGCCAGACCCTGCCATGCCAGTGCGCGACGTTGACCACTCGGCTTGCTTTGCCGTAACCCACTCGCCATACGGCCTCCTCTGCCGTCCCCCTTCGGATGTCTCCACGTCACTCTGGAGATGGCGTGGGAGCCTTAATTTCGGATGCGGCCTCCCGAAGTCGGGAAGACGAGCAGAGGAATGCAGCCTCGGATGTTCACCGCGGAAGTCGACGACGTGGAAGGTGCGTTGGACTGCTTCTGTCAGGCATGTGATACCCCACAATACGCCCCGGAGAACTGCATCCGAAAAGAGGTGCTGCTTCCCGTGGGCTTTGCGTCTTGCTGTACCGTCAGGCCGAGACGCTGCTGCCTGAGATTGTTTGCCTTGCAAGACACGTCGTACAGGCTGCCAAGCTTGCGGGGGCTCGAGCCTAATGCGTGCAGATTTTCCCCGCATTCTCCAGCCACGCAGGGCGTCAAGGTCACCGCTGGTCCCTGGCTGCAGCTGCCGAATCATCGGGGGCGTATTCCCGCACCTGCCTTATCGCCGCACCTGCGAACACGTTGACATGAAGGTCTCGGTGGGACTGTGAGGCAACCCTGCAGATCAAGAACCCTGCTTCCCTACGTACCGTGGGATTGGGTGCTTCCGGATCAATGAAATCGAGTACAGCCCCAAGTGGGACGACGAAAAACAATAGCTGCCTAAATGTAACCGCCAAAAAGAGGTTCGAAATTCATGAACCCGTCATACAAGCTAATATCCTCCTTCGGCAATGATGCGCTCAAGTCAGCCAGTCCAGAATCCAGAAAGAGAATGCATTTCCTCGATTCGGCATTCAGGGTGGTGATACACGCCCGGGCTATGCAGCCCGAGATGTTGTACAAACGAGACAGGAGAGGAGGCGAGAGGCGAAACAGGGAGGGCGCAATCAGGAGAATCCGGAAAAGGTGTGTGACCAGGCGCTTCCGTTTGCGCTGCCGGCGCCGATGCTGTTGGGCGTGCCGGCGTTGGAGGCGACGTAGTCGAGCGGCGAGTGGTGGTGGTGCGAGTGATGGCCGGCATGTGAAAGTGCAGGGTGGTGAGGATGGGGGTGGTGGTGCAGATCGTGCGGGCTGTGTGTGCCGTGTTGCGAATGCGACTGTGCCGAGGCATGGTGGTGCGAGTGATGCGAATGGTGCGCGTGCGAGCCGACGTCGGGCTGCGACGAGTGCTCGTCGGCGGACGACGTGTCGTGGATCCAGTGTGCCATGCCGCTGCTGCTAGCCGCCGCGTCCAGCGGTGCACTTGCACCACCCGTGTGCGGGATGTTGAGCGAGTCCGACGCTGCGCCTTCTGCATCTGCGTAGGCGCCCGAGACGGCATGCAGCACCGAGTCGTCGTATGAGCCGGCGTCCTGCGAGTGCTGCAGCTGCGACGGTGGCTGATGCTGTTGCGGCCGCCTGCTGGCGCTCGCTCGACCGACGCCTTTGCCTTCGCCCGTCTTTTCACGCTTCGCAGCACCTCCGCCCGGCAGCCTGCTGCTGGGCACGCTCTCGTGCCTCGGCACGATATCGATCAGAAAGTCGAACAGATCCGATCGGCCGATGGCACCGGCGATGTCCGAACGCTGGATGGTGCGCCGCTTGTGCTCCTCTGCGATCAGGAAGGCGCGGCATGTGAGGTCCGAGATGAAGATCTCGCAGGCGCGTGCAAAGAGGATGGGCGCCTCGGCCGAGATCATCTTGACCTGGTCGTCGGCCTTCATGACCTTTTTGATGCGAGCCAGGGGCAGCTGGCCCTGCGTAGGCAAGCCGGACTTGAAGTCGACGACGTTGCCATCTGCATCGCCGCCCTGCTCGACAAGGTCCATCTGGTAGCGCCAGAAGGAAGCCTGGAAGTCGTCGAGGTCTTGCGATGCGTGCACCAACGGGCCCGACGCCGGCAGAGCGCTGGCCCCGCGGCTGGACGAGGCACCCACTCCGCCGCTGGCACCCATGTGACTCGAGCTTGGCGAGTGGTGGTTCGAGTGCATCTCGCTGGAGGCTATGGACGATGCGCGGGAGCGTTTCTTGGCTGACATGGCGCGTCGACGTGCGACACGAGCAAGGTTCGATGCACCTGGCGCTCGGGGGAAAAGCGGAGAGCGATGCGAGCGGGCGTCGGCGTGTTGCCACTCGAGCTTTGGCTGATGGAGCGCGGTGGATGCGGCGCGAGGCTCGAGAGACGGCTGGATGGAAAGAGCGATGGTGGTGATCAAGACCCTGGGCGAGGATCGGGGCGAGCGGCAGCACGGCATGCATGCCTTCATGTCGCTTCCAGCTGAGCACATAAAAAACCCCCGCCGCAAACTTTTGGTATGGAATTTTTCAGTCAATCCCGACTTCCGAGGCGCGATCGACTATCAGATAGTAGAGCTGCAGCCAAGCGAGGCGAGATAATGTTAGACCGCTGTCATTACTTCGTTCTTTGGTTCGAGCCTTCGGACGCCCACATCCGAAGGCGCCCGCGGTAAATTGCAACCGATGGTCGGTCGGGAGTGGAGCGAATGCGGAACGCGGCGTGACGTATTTGTGCTTTGCTGCCAACGAAGCGGAGCGGTAAGAACGAGTTGACGTCGGGTGTTCTAGCCGGATCGGAAACTGCCCACGGACTTGCGCAAAAGCTTGCCAGTCCAATCACGCAAGGCCACGGACGATGCTGCTGCTGCCACCTTCCAGAAGCCTGCAACGTGGCGGATGATGGAGCGAACCTTGCGCTCCCACTGTGATGACTGGTTCGAGAGCTGAGCAAGCTCCGATCCGCGGCATCTGGCTTCCGAACCACGGCGCATAGGGCTCTCCTCCTCGGATTTGGCTTCCGCGCAAACTCCAGGCCCGGGAACCCGCGATCTGCATCTCCCAATATGCCCAACTTGGCTCGCTTTCTAGCTCGCTGTCTCGTCCAGCATTCTCCGTCCGGCTGGTCGTGACGGTCCTCACAGAGCCTAGAGTCGTTTTGCGATTGCTTGCCGTCATGGCCCTTCTCGTCGACGGCAAGGGCGAAGCATGTGGACGGAGAGGGAAAGCAAGGTCGGTCGTGAATTCGCAGACGGGTCCAGGCACAGCCGGCTGAATGCACAATCAGCGGCACGGATTGGAAGCACAGTGACGATGGCGACGCTTGATAGCGCAGTTGGAGGTGCCAAAAAAAAAAAAAA